GGATTCCTCCCAGCCCTCGCTGGTCATGCTTGTCCAACAGCCTGAGCAGAGCCTTTTTATCTTTCAAGTTGTACTTGGGTTTGAAAGCATACTTCCCATCTACAACTTCTATTTTCGGATTGTTGACTAGAGCCTGTAATAGGGACATAAATTTTAAACCTTGAAAAAGAGCACACGCTAGTACCGTTTTTTTCTAGTGTGCTTTTGAGAGCAGCTAGAGCACATCAGCCACACATTACAGCAGCCAGTTTGGAGGTTTGAGTCTGAAATGGATTTTAAATCCTTGGATCCTAGATCCACCGGCCTAGGCGTAATTCGCCGCAACATAAAGCACAAAGCACCAAAGGAGGCTTAACATCATTCACTTAATGCCTTTGGGCTCGAAGGTTCGGGAAGCCTCTTACGGCAGAAAGCCACACGCATTCCTTTTTGAGAAAGGAATGAAAATAAAAAAGAAGAGGGAACGCAAAAAAGCGTGCTTTGGCTGAATATAACGTGAAAACGCACAGCTCGGCTTATCAAGCTCGGGTCATACGGATGGTAGGAATGTGAAAGGCATTAACCTCGGATGAACAAACCAGGAGTCAGTCTTCCCCAACTGCTGTCAACTGGCACCAGCAGCTGTAGAAGAAATTGAGAAGAGCAGACCTCCTGCACAGTAGGGTTTTACTTATGATACCAGCTTCAGAGTTGAAGCTGACCGGAAATTCATGGACAAGTGAAATGATTTAAGATATGCTCTGAATCAGTTCTGCTGTGCAGCCAGTACCACAATGGAAGTTCACCTGTAACAGAGGGCAACTCTACTTAGTTTCTTCTGCAGATGCCAGCCTGACCCTGAAAGGAGAAAGAGAAGAGACACAGAAAGAAGGAAGGAGGGAGAAAACACCTGTAACAGAGACGGTAACTAACTTTGGCGCTGCAGGGTATTGGTTCACCTCTTCTCATCCAGAAACAATTCAGTGATAATTTTATATACGCTTCTTGGGAGGAGGTTTTTCATTCCATCTTGATATTCTGGTTCATTACGGAAACAACCTGGAGCTACCTTTTGAAAGACTTCAGCAAAGTCAAGCTTCCATCACAACTAACGCTGCCAGACTGTAGGTTTCTGAATCCTAGAATATTAGTACTGGTAGCAAAGGAATGCTACAGGCTGCATTACTTAAAACCATCCTAGTTGTACTATGCAGAGATTTTTTTCCCACGTTTCAACAGCTTCTACTACTTTGTTCCGAGGATTTTAAATAAGATCTGAGCAAAACCAGGTAGGCCAATGAAGTATAACGACAGAATGCAGTATTTTGCCTATTTATTAATCTTGAAATTCCATGAAGACACTCAGATCAATTAAGCTTGAAGATGAATACGGTGGCAAGTTACCGTGAATCTGTTAAGAACGAAACCTAGCGTCTAGAGTGAGACTAATTAACTCCAGCAGTGGAATTTGCAGATCTATTACCCCACAATTTCAGACATAAATTTCACATCAGAATTCTTCATTTCAGTAAGTAACAAAGAACTGTAAGCCTATGAATTTTGTGCCAAACTCCTTTGGTTTAGTTAATTTAACATCCTCGACATTGGAAGAGGTTTCTGCTTGAAATTTTTTAAAAAGAAATTCCTTAAGAGAAACAGCTTCTTTATATAAAATTAGTAATGAATAAATTCACTTGAATAAAATACACCCTCTCTGTAACAATTCCAACAGGTCCTTAAAAACGTCAGAATAGCTTTCATTTCACAGTTACCTCAACAGCAGGAGGTACAAGACAGACAGACATGTGAATCCATGTACGTTCTTAAAGGGGGGATTATATATTTATAGAGCTTGTAGTTAAATAAAGGTGTATAATTCAGGTTTATCATAATCCTTTATCTCTAATTAAAATCTAAACATATGCTTTCTTTACCTCGCTCATTAACCATTGTTTCTGTTTGAGTCCAATATCTAAATGCTGTGTTTCATCCAAAATCTCTTCTAGGGTTAACGGATGTGTATCACCACGCTGGTGCCGAGTCTGGAAAAGTAAATAGGCTCTATTAGAATTCTGTATTTATTTTATTCAGCCACTCCATTATCATAAAGTAACTAAAATTGGTATAACATGACGACAAAACAACTTTTGCAAAACCAGGATAGACGCAGTACACGTAGCACGTGAGTTTCAATTTAGGGTTTTTGGGAATATGAGGAAAAAAAATTAGTACCGGCCGAGATTGATGACAAAGTCATCTGTCAGGCACCAAATTACACGTTATTTTGATAAATAGCTCACGAATCCTAAAAGCTGGCAGCATGTTGCAATTCCTATTTCTACTGCAAATAGGAACCATTATCCTGGTTTTAAAGTGACCTGGAATAATTAGGATTTCAGTAATGGAACAATATGCCGACCGTTTTCTTTACTGACAGCATTTTGAATTTAACAAGGAGTTTCTTGAAATTCTCACTCTTGCAGTAAGAGAATTTTAGAGTTTGAAATATTCAGCATCTTTCAGCTACCACAGGAGAATAAATAACTAAAGTATTTAAAAACATTATAATTTTACACCAAAACACCATACCTTCATATAATTCACTATTTTAGCAAGGACTCCAAACTTGTAGCCAGAGCCTCCTGAAAGGGCTTTCAGGTTAAATGATCCATTGCTGTGATCTGCAAGAGGAGAAAACAAACAATTAAACCATGCTTTCAACCACACCCTGTTAGCTCTGCACTCCACCTCTTTCTCACTCTTCTCCCATAAGCAGCATTACAACTGTGAACAGAAATGCCTGTTGCAGGAGCGGTCGCCCTCAGAGAACTCTGTGCTAGCACATGTATTGATCCAGACCCACAAAGTTACCCGTCGACAGACATGGCTCTGGAACACTTCTGGGCAGAGCTCCATAAATATCAAGTTATAGGGACTTGACCTTTAAGAAAACAGCAAGCAACTGCAGCATTACTACCGTAAGAGTACATGTTTAATTCTGCGGCTTAACGTATAATCATTTACGCTACATTAATTCACGCCGAAATAACAAACTGCGTTTTTGCCCAACGATTAGCTCGACTGCTAGCTTCGTGCTGCTGAGATAGGAGCAGAAAGTTTCACTTATTTCCAAAAGGTATTCAGTAGTTGCGCACCAGGTAAAGGAATGCTGCGCTTGTTGGGCTGGGCTTTTTTTTTTTTTTTTTTTAAAGTAGCTCTAGTGGAGAATTTATTTGAAAAAACCCCATACATTGAGAACAATTCAACTTGGTGTGTTGCACCACTGGATCAACAATTCAGAATCCCCTCTGTTGTCAAGTCTGGTTCTGTCTTCATGTATCGTGAGGTTTGCTACTGTGTAAAGCTCGTTTCAAAAATTCTGGACTGTTTTATTAACTTGAGCTATTAGCACAGCACGTTAAACAGAAATATCCACAAACCACTATCAAAAGCCACAGTGCCATTACCAGCGCAACGTTGCTTAAACTTAACGGTAACGGCTTTTCAGAATTTCAGCTGCTCCAGAAAAAGAACATTTCCTCTTTGTCACCACAGGAATTTTCTTCATCTCCTGGTGACTTCCAATCACATTTGTCAGGACAGTAGGTATCTCGGAGATACTGAGCTCCTACTATTTCTGTGGAAAAATCAGTCGACGGAGAGAAAAGAAGAATTAAAGTTAGTGCGTTAACTGCGGGAGAGGTTGCAGCGGGTGCTGAGCAGAGCTGCTAAGCCAAGTCTTTGCTCTGCTGGGCAGCTGAAGGATATGAATGACAGCGGTGATAAGGAGTGGAAGGGCTCATGGGTTTGTGGTGGCGAAAACAGGAAGAAAAAAGAAAGGAAAAAGATCATCGTATTCTAGAAAACGCACCTAAGATGTTCAACAAAGACCCATCACCTCCATCGAGCAAGCAGCAGGCTTAGAGAAAGTCTGCGACGTTCACGGTGTTTAAATCTAGATGCCCTTGACACGTTCCTGAGAGGAAACTCCAAATTAAGTTTCCAAAGTAACTATGCTTCAGGTGAAATTTTTTCATGTCCGTCCCACTGCATCTTAACCTACCTCTAAGCTGATCTGCAAGCCTCTATAAAAGGCAACTCCAAAGTGGGAGTTTTGGATGTGGTCAAATGTCAAACAAATCCACTTTTGATAATTATTGGGAAGACTGCATGGAAACTGGTGCTAGTATAGTAAAAACCATAATGCCGAAGGAACAAACATCACATTTAAAACTCGGCAACTGGCAATTGCGAAGCTATTACGTGACATCGTATTAGAGGCTTTACATAGCACAACAACTCTAAAATTAACGTCGAAGAATCAGTGTAACTCCAGCTACAGAAGAACATTTTATTCTGGTTACTAAATTAAGACGGAAAAAGGGAGGAAAAACAACAGCCAGCCTGAAAATAGAGCCTCCAGGAATTTTCCCCTAGAGGGTCCCCTTTATATAGACATCAATTAAAAATTAATGTCTATGCAGGGCATTTCATAAATAAATTAAAAAAAAATAATACATCTAACTAGAGGTCTAAAGTGACTAAAATAAATTCAGAGGTACAACAAATAGTTAAGACGACTTTATCATGTATTTGTTTTGTCAACTGAATCAAGAAGATTATCTTGTTTAATCTGCCTGGCTACACAGCCTGCTGCAGTTCACGACAAGTAAATCTAACCACACGGCGAAGCTGGAAATCTGTAGATATTAACACTTCAAACGTCGTGGTTTGACCGGCTGCTTTCCAGCGCAAAGCCAAGCGGGGTCACGGCCACCGTCGCGCTCCCAGCACGCTTCTCCGCTAACAAGCTCATCGCGCGCAAAGAGCCTCCCAAAAACGAGGGCGGGAAGGGGTTCGTTTCTTCTTCGAGTCGAATTTATGAATGATTTATTTACTCCTGGGGTTGAGGGCTGGATGCAAATGAGCAGAAAGGAAGTTGTCAGCAGCACCATGCTCTGGCCAATGGTAGGAAAGCTCCATCTTAGCTGTGCCATAGGCTGCATTAAAAAAAGGGACCAGAACAGCGCTCTTTCAGCATCCTTTCAGACGAGAGGTAGGTGTGTATCATTTTATAACATTGTCTTAGGTTTATCTTGATTACTGAAAGAAAATATGATTGTAACCTCCAAGCCTGTAAAAAGCTGCTTAGAATCAGAATGATTTTTCTCTAGCTTTAGCAGGATTTTGTTCCGCTGAACGCAGAGGAGCTTGTCTTGCACTATCAGACGAGCACTTTCACCATCTGTGCACTAATGGAAAATTGATGAACACTCCATCTTACAGCAGAGCTCATACACCAAGCCAAGATTCAGTAAACAAAATGGATTTCATGCTTACTGGGGAGGTAGCTGGTTTCCTGCAGCCTCACGTTCCTTGCAGTTCATTCTATGTGTTTTTACAGAAATGACAGTGAAAGGATTTTCCTTAAAACAAAGACAGCTAAACCTGAAATTCAAGAAATGTATCTCCCAAGTGGGTATTCCGTAAACCATATCAATTAACCTGCGTAAAAGAGATCTATGTTCGTGGATGTGCTAGAAACCTGTTCTAGAAATTCGGTATGTTAGGGTAGGAAGAAAATCCCCTTGCATATTATTATCCTTGTAAATATTGGCGCAGCGATCGATACAATACAAACAGACAGGTTAGAATCCATCTGAGATTTGTAAATGCTATTACCTCAAGGTGTCTGTTCAGTGGTTTCTTAAACAGGACTTCCTCAGCACTGCATTGAAATGATTTTTTTGCCAGTCATTTCCCTCTGCTCCAGGGATATGATTTCAAATAAAGCTGCTCTTCTGCAGTGTCTAAAGATGATGATACTTCTAAATTAAAACCTAATACAGATATTACAGAAGCCAATCCATTAAATATTTAACTCACTGCATTTTGGATAAAGATAGTAGCTGAACTGCATTCAAATCAGACTGGTTTACAATAGGAATTTAAATTGTGCCATTACAAAATAAGCAAAACTGCATGAAATCAGACCATTTTTGACAGCTTTCAAAGACGCTAACCTCATTAACGCTGTGTTAATTCTGAAGGCTCGGCAACGGCTACTTCAGTCTTGTATCTTAATAATTAGAGCAACGAGTAGCTGATATTTATCTGCCTCGCCTCCTTCATATTTAAAGAGATCATCATCCTCCTCCTCGAGAAGCACGAACCACCTCCGGCACGGGCATTAAATTCCACCTCCCTGCGTAAACAGGAGCTTCTCTACGCTGTGCAAACCGTTGCCCTAATGGTGGCCGCGGAGTGGGAAGGGGCCGGCTGCTGCACTGCGCCGGCAGCCGAGCGGCAGGGACTCCTGCCTGGGGAGCCGTGCCGTGCCGAAGACACTCCCCTCCTCTCGGGAACAGAGCTACCACCTTGGCGGAGAGCTGTGCCGGCAAAGGGTCCTGGCTACGCCACGTAAACATGCCCAGTCTCTCCGTCGGCCCCAAATCTCCATCTCTTTTGACTATTCTTGATCACAATGATTAAAATAATAAATTTCCTATCAGCAGAAACAGTTAATTTTTGTGCCTGGCGTTTACCGAGTGAGCAAACTTACACGTAACAGATTCCAACAAAATCCTCAGTCTTAGAAAACTGTTTCAAAAGTTCAAAACAAAATTCCTCTCCTTTCCCCAGGATATTCTCTTGCCATTTAAAACAGACATTGAAATCCTGCTTGTTTTAACTACCCCTCAAAGGGGCCTCCAAATGCTTTTATTTTCAAATAATTCTTCGGACCAGCCCTTCAAAAACCCTCCTGACTTTTAGCCCCATAAAACAGGTCAGCTGAGTTTTCTTCCTAAACCGTGACCAAACCAAGCCAATGCTCTCAAAGCCAGGACCCAACGCAATTCAGGAGTATTTTTAGCTTGGATTTGCTCTGTGAACTTTTGTTTAAGAAAAAAACCAGAACAAACCAAACAGTTTAATTAATCCTATTCGATCACAAATTTATGTATTCAGTTACAGATTTAACAGAGGGAACAGTAAGTTACAGCAACCGCTCCAATAAATGTCTATATCAAATGCTAATGCCAGGTATCTTCCCAACAACAAAGCCGTTCTGTTTCAATTTAAATCCATTAAAGACAGAGGGATAAAGAAGAAAATGTATAATATTTAAACAATAAAAATAAGACATAAATCGCAAGCTGGTTTGGCTGTATCATCCTAGTTTTCGTAATACCCTTTTTTTTTAATAATGACACAAAAATAACGACAGGTGCTTAGACTGCTTTAAGTAATCTGTTTTAGTAGACACGACCACCCTTCGCCTTTGTCGCTTCCCATTCACGCAGGCATTTTGTAGTTTTCACCGTCTAAGCAGGTTGATTGCAGAATTATTTCTGGAATGCGCAAGGTTCATTAAAGCGTTACCTGTGAGCGCAGTTTAACGAACAAAACGTCAGCGTTACCCCTTCGTTCTGTAGTTTTGATGACTGAATGAAATTAAACTAAAAGTAAGTAGCCAGCACCATTTTGCAATGAACATAGCTAGGTTTTCGCTTTTTGCTTTATGTTCAAAGCGAAAAATCTTTCACTGAGGCATGGAAGTAAGACTCCAGGTTTCTACAAAGTTACCATCTTGTCTCTCTCTTCCCCCTCCATAATTACACATTTTCTGGGGCACTCCAGAGGACAAAAGCACATTTTGCGAGCTGCCCCTTAGCCGGCACGCACTCACCAACTTTAAAGGCTTACATGCGGGGCGCAGGCTGGCCCGTCAGTGCTGCTCACCACCACGTTTCACCTAAAATCTCCTTGCTATTTCCTCAAGGGAATACGGAGATCTGACTCCATCTCCTTCTCCCACACCCAGTTTTAAATTGCCTGAAGGATTCAAAGGTTATTACGGCGTCCTACAGGACGCTACGACAGGTAACGAGAAGTTACTGTGGCTCCTTGGATATTATTTGTTACGTTAGACTATATACCTAAAGTACTGTAAATTCCCTCAGTTTTGGGAAGCAAAGCCAGGGAAAGAAGGAAACCGGGGGAAAAAAGAGACGCATAACTGTAAAGATGTTCTTGCCAAACACCTCATCTGCCTACTTATCCGTAGGCAGAGGAATTCGGAGACAGACAAAACTGCTTTTTTGTTCTAGATACACCACAGAAATTACTGAGGCAAAGCCTACTTTCACACTTTCAAGCAACGGCCTTTCCAAAACAGCACAACTCGACAGCGATACCATTCGTGCCAGAGGCAGATTTGCCGAAGCCAACTTCTTGTTTCGTCTCTCCCCCATGCCACAAAGCAGTCTTTTCTTCTGCTGGGTACAAACAGAGAGTATCGGAGCAAAGACGACATTCCTTTCCTAACAGTTAAGCAGAGAATGCAGCTGAAAATAAGAAATCAGAGCTCCTCAGAAAGGGTTGGGTTTTCCTTGTTATCGATCCTAATGACCGCGGCACCACAAACGGGCCGAGATTTCCAAATGCGCTCAGTGCCGTTCGGGCACTGATTTCTCGAGCATAAACTTCTACTCGACAGCAGGAGCGGCAGGGGAACGAACGCGTCAGGAAAGCTGGCCTTCTGAAGTCAAGAGAGTTTTGCAGGGTTAACAACTCTGTGCTAACAGACAATTCTAAAATAATGAGTTTTAAAGAACTAGGATTGTTATTTTGTACTAGAAGAACAACCAGAAGTCCAGTTCCATTCTTTGGAAACATCCTCCAAAATAGTTACTATTTAAACGTTGTTTTAAAGAGTGATTTCCTTCTTTCTCCCAAATAGGAGAAAAAAAAAAAAACCCTAAACAAGCAAATTACACAATGACATTAACATGTAGTAAGTTCTTCTAATCGCTCGGGTATGGGAGGGCGGTACACGGATCTCCTGGTTTTCTAAGAATGCCACAAGAGCGCTGAGGGCTTTCGCACCATGCAAGTACCAATCTCAAGATTAACGACGGCCAGGTCGTTGAAACTGCTTTATACCTTGAAAATTATCTTTGTAACCTTTTTGTCTTCGCGTATACTTGAAATAAAGAAGCAAAGCGCTCTCATTCCAGAATAACTTGCACTACGTGATGCGTGCATGGACCAGTCATCAGCGAAATAAACGTTCCAGACAAATCACAAAGTTGTACATTTGGAGTTTGATACTTTTGTGAGCAAATATGAGTATGCAACAATCCATGTTTGTAGGAGGTGTGAGCGCTTAGTCTGAGCTTAAGTTCTTACAGTTAAAGGATATCTTACAGGATAAAAAATCACAGCATGTTCTCGATCCACAGAGTCCTCAATAGCTTTCTTTTTCTGTTTCAGCCCCCAAATCTGTGACAGTGAGCACGCTAAGACAACTCTTCAAGAATGGCAACCCTCAACACCACTCACTGGAACGAGACTACATCCATTTCCCAGTATCTGGGCTTTCAAGTGCAAAAAATTTACCCTTTCCATGATAACTGGAACACTGCCTGCTTTATTATTCTGATCATATTCATCTTTACTGTAGTTTCTCTGGTGGTGTTGGCTTTCCTCTATGAACTGCTAGACTGTTGCTGCTGTGTGAAAAATAAAACTGTGAAAGACTTGGAGAATGAACCCAATCCTGTCAGAGCAATGATGAACAGCTTCAGAAAGCGTGAAACAGAGGTGGTGTAGGAAGGACTGGGCATCAGCACTTGAAGAACGTTTAACACCTTGAACGAAGCCTCTTGTAACTTCTGAATGAGCAAGTCACGTGCTTTTTTTTTCTTTTGGACTTAAATATAGCAGCAACAGTTATCGTTTTATCTCTGGCTGTGAACTTGAATAATTGGCAAAGCCTTTCCGAGTGCTTAGCAGAAAAATGATCTGTTGCAATGTTGTGGGGGAAGAAAAGATTTTTGTTTCTAAATGAACTTTTGTTGTTTCTATTGAGTTACTAGCATAGATCTTTGTCTACCTGAAGGAACAAATGTTGCCTAACACACGTAAAACTGTGTTGCTTAACCGGAGAAAACGTTTATAAAAACGCTCAGCAATCCAATCATACGTAGTGCAAAGACACAGCAGTGTCCTCCCACTGAGGTCAACCACACAAAGACAGGGAAGACATACAAGGGGTGAGAAAAAAGATAGGAGACGGAAGAGTTGAATGGCGAGAGATCCCATGAGACAAGAGGGTCTCGTGCGAATCCTTGCCTTCGGCAGCTCTTCTTATGACGGGTTTCTTGCTTTTAGAAGAGAGGGCGGTGGGAGGAAAAGTAAGCCAGCGTGAAATATATCCCTAAAATGGTCTTTTCTAACCTCCCATGGTACAGTTCGACCCTTTCTCCCTCCCCTTTTCCAGCTCCAGAGACCTGCTCTCCCCTTAATGCGTATTCATCCTGTTTAACAACTTCTGGGTGTCTGACTAATGACGTGGCCTTAAGAACATCTGACTCTTTCCACAAAAGCATACTGTAGCGGTACTACGGTCTAGAAGAAACAGGGACGTTTTTCTGCCCCAAGGCTGCTGCCTCTATGGTAACCACACCACTACAGGGAGTCAGACGTGCCGGATACATCACCCCTATCTTAACTTTTTAAAGCTGAACTAGAACTGACCGAGTTCTCGCCAAGGAACGCAAGCAGACGGGTCGCAGACCTCCCGCACCGATGACAGTAATTTCGCCCAGCCTGCACGCAGCTTTCAGGTGTCGATGTGCTTCACAAAGGAGGCCGCACCAGGATAAGCCTTGCGCTAGGGACGGCGAGGCAGATGCACGGCGAGAAGTGCCTTCATTTTGCACAAGAGAATCTCAGCTTGCTTCATCAGCCTGCCGATGCAGCCCAGAGAGCTCACACTCACACCATTCTCGCAAACCGACCGCGTAACACCCAGACCTCTAGCTCACCAGGTTATTTTTCTTCTGTAGCTGCGTTGCGTCTATAGTTTTTAAAACCATACAAGTTTTGCAGTTATAAATTACAACGGTAATAACGGCATCCAACAGCGTGGCCATCGGTAATGCCCAGTAAGTCTTTCACACTCCTGAACCCCTAGAGAAGCAGGCCAGCGAGAAACGTCCCAGACCAAACCTACGTGTGGGACAAGATATTTAATTATATAAAAACCCAAATAATATTGCTGTCATTAGGGAAACAAAACCCACCTAATGGCCAAACGGATGAGTAAGCTACAACACTGATCTCACAGTCTATCCGTGTCAGAAATACCTTTGTGCTACAGTCAGTACCTATAATTATCTCTTTCTTTTTTTTTTTTTTTAAATATATAAACTCCCTCTATCGTGTTCAGTATGCCTAAGCTCCAGAAGATCTAGACACAATGAAAGACTTGCTAATTTGACTCGTGCTCTTCCCGGTTGGTGAGAAGGAGTCACAAGATTCCCAGGCCACTACTAACCAGCACAGCCAGTCCAGTGATTCACCCGGAGAAGCCATCTCCCTTCCGCCATCACAAAACGACACAACTACCGCTGCAACCGTTCACCTCAGATACACTTGTTACGGTGAAGTTTCGCCAGTACCAGTCACCACGTGCAGAGAATGCTTTTAGCTAAAAATCAAACTATAAGCACAATTAATGGAAGCTGACACCTCGGCTACACGACAACTTAGGATTCGCACCAAGACATACGATGAAGGTAGTATTTAGTGATGACAATGCCTTCCGCTGTCAGGGACGCTGGGTAGATGCCTCGTTACCTTCTGCTGTATTTGACAGCGTCCGCCCTGAAAGCCCGGTGTCCCGCTCAAGAGAGGCAAGAGTAGCCATCGGGACGCACTGAATTAATTAACATGCCTCTTTCCCGAAAGCAAACACTCCGAATGGCAACAGGACTGCTGGCCGCTTGCAGCGTTCCTACAAAACTCTCATCCTGGCTGCACACAAGAAGGCAGTGTGCAGGAGGTAAGACGGCTAGCCTCTGCTACGCCAGCTTCGTGTTCTTATGCCTTCCTGAGAAGCACATGCAATGAAAAATCTTGGAACTCATTCCAGCTACTTATTTCACAGATGTATAAAGGGGGCTGGGTGTCTGCACAAGGAACAGAAGACAAAGATCTCCCCTTGCACAGCCCTAGAGCCTCCAGATGATTCTTTCCCACGTGCAAACTAAGTGGTGAAACAGCTCCTGGAGATTTCAGCTCTCGGTTACTGTTGGCTAAGACCATCAAGACAAAGGTCTTGAAATAAAGACTAAGACCTTAGCCGCAACTTACTATTCATTAATAAAAATAAACAAACAGATATGATCTATTTCATTTATTTTCCAGTTACTATTCCGAACTGAGTAAACGAGGCAGTTGTACATTTTTTTCAAATAACTTGTTTGAATAATGGTTTCAAATAAATATAGTAATCACTATTCTCACTGGAAAGCTTACAACAAATCTTCACACACAGGCCAGATTTAGCTCTGCAGTCATTTGAAGATTAGAATGATCTCGATGCCTCTCCTCCCCAGAAAAGTGATAAGGGCAGGTTCTCCGAGTCATAGAATCACAGAACGAGGGACAACCTGCAGGCGCTACACACCCAGGGCCTATCTACGCCAACACGTAATCAGTGTGACGCTATTTATCATCTTTGTGGTCTATACTATACAACAAAACTAGGAGCGATCGTCTTAATTTTAATTTCTGCGAGGGGGTGGGACAGGGATTCTTCAACATCAGGTTTTTACTCCACCTCCCCAAGACCCATCTCTGACACACGCGTATCCTGACAGGCACCTAACAATCTGGCGATTCAAATAAAAAGCAGGTTTTAAGGCAAAGGACTTGGACTCTGCAGCACCACAGGGCAACTTGTGCTGCTTAACCCGTTCAGTCGCTTGCCAGCCTGAACGCTTGTTCTGAGCCAATTCGTAAGAACACAAGGGAGAAAGCTGGTCCGCTTGCTCTCCGTTATTTTTCTTCCATCCTTGCTGCTTCTGCAGCAGCTAGTAAATACTCTCCAGGGGAAAATGAAAGGAGGCTGAACTCATTCTGCATAAAAATGTTACAGAAACCCCGAAACCCTTCTGATACTGTCTGGAACGAAGCCAGCAGTATAAAAGATATAGCGTATTTCCTCACAGCCACGCATCCCTATTTGTGTAAGCTAATCATTTAACAGCTGCAAAAGCACTTAAAGAAATACCCAGACCACAAAACCACAGAAAAGAAATTGCGCTTTCTTTTTCTGGTCTGTCACTTGGCCCCATATCTACTCAAACCCTCCAGATCAGACTCACATTTGAACCGTCCGCCCTCTTCCCGCCTCCCCATCCCTCTTGCCCAGCAAACCACTCTCAGGACATGCAGTTTAAGATATTCCATGTAGAATTTTATTTTATTTGGAAAGGAGAGTGTGGCAAAGGGACCAATGGAAACCTGGCCTCCCTTGATTTATTTTGAAATGCCTGGCTGATAACTTTATTTGGTGCCCTGGGAAGCTGGAGGTACATACGCAAACTCCCTACTCTTCCCCTCAGACCGAAGATGCTCCACTCCTCCCATCGTCCTTGATGTTCTTCTCTGTTGTTTTTAGCTGTATTGTTTCTTTTGGACTTTAGAAGAGAGCCACGCACGGTATTCAAAATATGAGCACGCAATGAGTTTGCGCAACGGGTATTTTGCATTTTAGTAACTCCTGACGTTTGATTTGGCTTTTAGAGCACATCGGGGAACGGTCGCTGCTTTCGCAGAACTGAAAAGGCCCCCCGAGTTACGCGTCTCACACAGCGCAAGCAAACACAGCATGCCGCTGCAGGCACGCAGATCCTCTCCCTGCTGCTCCAGGTGCCGTGCTTTTCATTTGCTCCTGCTATTTCAGTGCTGCTTGACTAACTGCTTATTTGATAGTGAGAGATGCATTATCAGTGCCACCATCCCAGGAAACTGACCACGCTCCTGAACAAAGCGGACAGAAACCTACAGAAATCCTGGCGTTCGTGATCAAATATTAGCTCCCAGGTAAAACAAGAATGACTGCTAATCACAAAATGCTAGCCAGACAACACGCAAGTTGCAAAATCCATCTCGCAGATGGATAGCCTACGGCTTCCAGTTAACAAAACTAAGTTTTAGGTGCTCTCTTGCCAGAAAGACAGAGGAGAGAAAAAGTAGACCGCTGTTGCTGCTTGTTGCGTGGGTCCAGCGAGCACTGAAACCCACAAGTCAAAGCTCAGCTTTGTACAAAATAATATTTTGGCAGCAGCAATTCGTCCAACTGAGTAACAGCAAACAAGTCAGAGGAGGAGGCCTGACACGTATACATGGTAGGAAAAGTGTTTTTTTCCAGTTGTGTAAGTGACTTTCTTAACAAAAAGTCACAATTTAAGAGAAACAGTGACCGCTAGCAAAATTCACAGATAGACTGATTCATGCAAATAAACCATAGCTTACAGGCAGACAGTGGAAAATACCAAACAGCTGTTGAATGGGAGACTTTCACCAACCTGTGCTTTGTTTTGAGCTCGAGGAGCCACCTTGTTCTACCTTTGCTTTCTTTTTTTTTGAGGAAGAGGAGTCAGAAGATGGCGCTGGACGTTTTTCTACTGCTGGTGTGGAGAGGGCACGCTTTTTGAATAGCTCTCGCTCTCTCAATAAGCTTGGATCCATAATTCTGTTAGGAGAAGGAGGAGGAAAAAGGCAAGAAATAGGTATTAGAGTTATTACGATGTTTAAGA